GGCATAAAAATTACATTGGCTACTCCCTCAAGTGTACGCCAAATAGTAGATAGTGAACATCTTTGCCTTGTCGCTTCTGCTATACAAAAATGTCCTTATTGTTTCCTCAATAAAACAGGGTATTGGCTTTAAGGCATACATAAACTTTTTTTTGAGACATGGTCTTACTATGTGATCTAGGCTGGCCTAGATTCTTCTTTTGCTTCAGGTTCCTGAGTGCTCAGATTATAGGCATATCCCACCATACCTGACATATGTAAACTATTAAAAATATCCTTTAGTTTTTATTATCTTCAGTATCTTTTAAAGATCACGAATGGATATTGAATTTTGTCAAAAACTTTCTTAGCTCGCTGGAGGTAATAATATTTTTCTTAGATTTACTAATAGGATATAAATAAATTTTCAAATATGAAACCAACCTTGTATTCCTAAAGTGAGTCTCACTTGCTTCTGTTGTATTATTTTCTGAATACAGTCTTGAGCTCTGTTTGCTAATTATTTGTTTAGAATTTTTGCACTGGTATTCTGGAGAGAGAGTGATTTGTGGTTTTGTTTTTCTATTTCTTTATCTCATTTAGATATCAGAATTATAGTTACTTTGTGAGAGTAATTAGGATTTTAATCCTTCCTTTTCTATGCTGTGGGATATTTATAGAGCACAGGGACTGTCTAGGCTTGGAAGGTTTGGTAAAGTTCTTTTGTGAAAGCATCTGCCTACTGCTAACCAAAAGCCTAACCAAAAGACTCCTGCTTTTTTGTGATAATTTTTAAATAGCTTTCTCTGTATCCTCAATGGAAATTGGTCTGGTTAAGCTTTCTAACTCTAAGGCATCAATTTTGGTAATCAGTATTTCCTTAAGCAATAATCCATTTCACCTAGGTTTCCAAACCTAGGTGTTTGCATAGGTGTCTGCAAAACAATATCATATGATTTTTAAAACTTTCCTGTGTGTTAGTGTTTACTTTGCCCTCATTATGTCTTTCTTTATATATGTGCTTTCTTCCTTTTTCTTGTTCAAAGTTAGCCAGTATTTAATTTCTGGGTTTTTTTTCTTTTTCTTTTTCTTTTTTTTTTTGTTTGTTTGTTTTTGAGACAGGCTATCACTATGTAGTCCAGGCTGGCCTTGAACTCACAGTGATTTTTGTTCTGCAGCTTCCCCTTGCTAGAATTATAGGTGTGGACCAGCTGCCAGTGTTTAATTTCTTAAAATTTTTCATTTATTGATTAGATAATAAGTACTTATACTTTGTTATCTAAAGGGAATAAGGGTGAATTATTCATTCAACATTTATTTAACATCTACCACACTGTGGCTACTAGGTCATATGCTAGTGACAAAACTTATTTAACATCTACCATGCTGGCTATTAGGTTGTGTGCTGGTAACACAATGTATCAAATAAATATTCTCCACTCAAGGAATTTATACATGAATTATGGGAATATAAACTAGTAGATGTGAGTGTTATTAGAGAGAGATGGGCTTTGATTGAGAGAAAGTTGAGAGAAAGAAGAGGCATAGAGACAGGAAATCAAGGGAATATGAATAGAAAAATTTCGGGGCTGGGGATTTAGCTCAGCGGCACAGCACCTGCCTGGCAAGCGCAAGGTCGTGAGTTTGATTCCCAGGACTGGAAAAAAAAAAAAAAAAGAATAGAAAAATTTCTAGTGAGTAGTAAAAATTAACAAGAGCATTGGCTTTGAAGTCAGATAAATAATCTTGTCTATTATCTATCAGCAATATAATATTGATCGTGTTGCTTAACTACTATGATCCTCTATTCCTTGTCTGTAAAATGAGAATAATAGCTCTTATCTTAAATGAGTGACATAAAGATTATATGGAGTAATATGTGCAGAGTGCCTAACATAGTGTTTACCACAGAATTAAATGTCTGGCACATTAAGCAGAAATAACTTGAAGGGAAAAGGGTTTTATCCTAGCATCTACCACATAGTATACATGTATTACATATTTATTGAGTGAATGAAGCATGTTTTGGATCAGATTGTGGGTTGCTTGTCATTTTGTAATCACTAAAGATTTTTGAATGGTGGAATGAAGTTATCAGTTACTGGTGCACTCTGGAAGATAGACTTGTAACTGTTTCTAAACTGTATTGGAGTTTAGAGATGCAAAGGCAGACAGTTTAAGCAAATCTACCAGCATTTCTAACAAGACCAGTAATGAGGCTTACTTCCTGTCATTACAGAGCTTATAGATATGGTCATAATTTATAAATAATGGGAGATAGTAGATACTATTGGGGCATGATACAAATGCATGCCTTGGAAGTTGCAAATAGTTTGAGGATGAGGGAATCAAGGAAAGTTTCATGGTGGCAGAAGCTTCATGACATTTTCATATGGTGCTGAGATAGAAGCAAATGATAGATGGGAAAAGCATGTGAGCAAATTTTGAGTATGGATCAGTGATGGGCAGTGATTAGGGAAGAACTAGAACCACAAGTTGGGCCGAAATGTATTGGAAGAGGACTAGAGAAAGTTTTGAAACATAAGTCAGGACAAAATCCATTGTTTATACTGGGGGGTGGCCTCAGTGCAGTACAAAGTATAAGTGAAAGAAATATTGTCTTTTCTCTTTTGCATACTCTCTATACTTCTTTACATATTTAATATTTCCAATTATTAAAGATAGAACTGATTATTCCTACCCTAGCCTTAAAGAGTATGGGTATAGTTTAGATAAGACTTAACAGGAAATATTTAGGAGCAGTGCAACTATAGTGCTCTGAAGTCTGTAGGCATCTAGGGGGAAGGATAAACATGACAATCTGAAGAGAAGTTTTCAAAACCTGAGTTATTTTTCTATGGCGTATCTACATATAATCTGTACTATTATTTACTTTATTTATTTGAATAGATATTTTCCCCTCTCAATTAAATTTATTTTAGAACACTTTGCGTCATTACCTCAGTGGAAAACTTGTACTGTTTGCCATAAATAGAAATTCATTTTAAAAATCTAATAAAGATGAAGCACTGTTATTAAATTCTAGTTAAATGGGTTGTCTGCCAAAGGTTGTCTGTGGTCATAAAGGGAAATGAACAAGTCTTAGAGACATCTAAATGACATACTAGTATCAAACTCAGACTTCCTCCTTAATATAATCAGAAGATTTTTAACAAGTTGGAAAAAGAATGAGTTTCTCAACATGCCCAGGCCATCCCGGAACTTTCAGTCTTTCTGCATCAACCTCCTAATTAGGTGGGATTACAAGAATGTGCCATCATGCTAGGCGAGTTAATGTTTTTTAAAGCTATATCTGGGCTCCACCCAGAATCAAAAGGCATGCATCTCACAAATTTTGAAATGCTATTTTAGAGCATATTCTAATTCATTCAAAAAAGAATATATCTAATTTGTCTACCGAATGTTACTAACATATGTGTACCTAATATTAACAGAATTAGAAACTAGATTTTAGTGAATAATAAACACACCTCACAGGCAAGTAATGTTATAAATCCTATAGTAACTGAATATGTGCTGCTTTGTGAGATCACAGAATGCTCCCTGGAAATCTAACCATTGAATGAGTAGAAGAAAGCCAGGTATTATGGAGTGTAGCAAGGCAGGAATGAAGAGGGGAAGATAGGGTGAATGTTAGAGACAAAAGGAAAACAAATATAAATGCTTTCAGGGAGTACATGCTTAGTGTTTTATAATTTTGTGTCTGGACACACAGTCTTTAGGTTTTCTTCTAACAGCTTTAACTTTTAGGAAGGCAGTATGGCTTAGTGAGTGGAGCCAGGAAGTTTATTTACCCTGGAAAACCTCCACCAACTTATGACTAACCTAGCCAATTTTTTAAAACTATTATGGTAGTGTTGATGACATGTGGTAGGATACTCCTTATGATTTTGGGCATTGGCAGAGAGCTACAACTCCAGTGGGCCACATGATTACAAGTGTAAACAACAGATACTCTATGTTGTACAGCATTGCCAGTGTTAGTCAAATTTTGTGTTTTTCCATTCTATCATGTCTACAAAACATCATCTGTGTGTGTACATGAGATTTTCAACATTTTATTATAAAGTAGGTGCTATGTTAGATGTTCAACTGTTAATTTAATGTAAATATGCTAAGCACATTTAAGAGAGGCTAGTCTAAACTATGATGTTTGACTATTTAGATGTATTTAATGCATTTTTGACTCAGTATGTTTTCAAATTACAGTGGTTTTATGGAATCATAACCTCATCAGAAGTCAAGGATATATCTGTGTTACTATGTGATTGTATAAAAAGATGAATAAAATGCACATGGCCATTGCCCTCCAGGAGTTCAGAACCTAGTAGAGGAAGCACATTATACATACTTGCTATTAAAGTATGCTAAGTGCTATGAAAGGATTTATAAGAAACAGTGCTATATATAGGGCTGTGTATCCTTGAGGGAAAGCTGTGGAGAGGATGTGACGTATGAGTTGAGTGTTGACAAACAAGTATAAATTCTCCTGGAAGGTTGTGTGTGTATGCACGTGTGTTTTCTATATACTGTTTTAGCTTGATAAACATGTGTGAAGCCTAGAGAGGGTAAGAATAAGACATATTGGAGAAATCACAAGTTTTTTTTGTGTTAATGGAAGCATACTGTGTATTTGTAGCTGAATTGAGGAGAATGGAGACTGGAGAAAAACAATGAGGCAAGATTTAGTTTTTGGTATTTGTATATTCTTTTTGACCCTTTTGAGTCTCACCTTACTATCAGTAAAGAAAGACTGAAACTGGATGGAAGCTTTTCTTGTTACTTACAAGTTTATTTAGTTCTAGCTTTCATGATTGTTTTCAGCATGTAATTAGCTAAAGGGTAAAGTAGTACTTCCTAGTGATCAGAAATATACCAACAATTATAAAAATCTCCAGAGATCAAGAGAAGTTTCTGTGGTCTTTATTCTCAGGATAGTGAATTCTTTAAAATATGTATTCATTTTCACATCTTACTTTTTCACTTGGTTTTCACAATTAGATTTAACCCAGAAGGATGCAGCTAAAGTGTTTGACTTCCCCATACAGTTGCATGAAGCTTGCAAAATAATGAAAAAAAGAAAAAAGGTATGTTATTATAAAGGGGAGTGAGAAATATTTGATTTTTAGATAATCCTGTCTAGATAAAATGTGTGAAGATATTAAAGACAGTGAAAATAGTTACATCTTTTGAATAATTTAATTTTCTGAAATGAGAAAATAGAATTTGGAGAAATGGAGCTGGGTTTAGAAATATTTATTAACCAAAAAGAATAGCTCTTCTAATATTTGAAGGTATAAAAAATATTTTAATCAGGATATAATCCACTAGATTTTTTTCAAATAATAATCTATGATTTATAGAATATGATAAACTCTGAGAGGTAATGTAGTATGAGAAGAAAATCATAGATCTATATTGGTACTATATTGCTCTTTTCAAAGACAAGGAATACATTTTAATTTTTTCCCAGGAAAGCTAACAAGGATGAACCTTTACTGTTCAACTGTTCTTGACATTGGTTGCCCAGATATCACAGCAACTTGAGTGTTTTAAACATACCCAAGATCAGATGCTGTGTTAATCGCTGATTGCCATTTTAGTTTAAATAAATTATTAATTGATTATGGTACATATAATTGTATTGTTTCTGAGGTTTGAGTTTGTTTAATATATAATCTATACATAATATAAAGTAACATTAAAGCTGACTAACTCTTTGTCTTAGTTACTTTTCTTGTTGCTGAGACAAAATACCCAACACCTAAAATTAAGGGAGGAAAGGTATATTTCAGTTCAGTTTGTAGAGGTTTCAGTCCATAGTTGGCTGGCTCCAAGGCAGAGTGGCATGGCAGAGGGGCATCAGTTCATGGCAAATGAGGGCAGGAAGAAGCTAGCAGCAAGCAGCAAGCAACAGCAGCAGCAGCAGCAGCAGCAGCAGCAGCAGCAGCAGCAGCAGCAGCAGCATTGCCAGTAGCAGCAGCAGCCTGCCCCTCCTTTTTATTCCAGGCTACCTGCCATCTAAGGGGTAACACCCACACCCAGAGTGGGCCTTTCTTGATCCCAGTATCACACAGTTTATCCCAGCATCACATCCTTAATCCTGCTATGACACACCCTTGATTCAGCCACCTCCGAGAAGCTACCTAAGACCGCATGATTTTGAGTAGGTATCTAATCTCACTATACTAAGAAATATTTCTTCCAAGAACCATTTTATTTTGAGTGAGAGGAAAAAAGCAAAAGCCAACATTTACTTTGAACTGTTGTGTGCCAGACATCAGGGTAAGTACTTTACATATGTATTGCTAATAATTCAATGGGTGGAGATACCCGTCTATGTGATTTAAACACCCAGTGTCAAGCAACTGGAAAGTGGCAGTTTGATTTCATAGTTCTCATTCTATCTATTCTAGTATATCAATGATCTCTAGTAATTTTGCTTTGGTATGTTTTGGGAAAAATCTTTAATTCTTAACTAAAATAAAATACATTAAAAAATCAAATCACTGCCCAATGGTTTAGATATAGGAATAGAAAGTCACTATTTTTATTACTTCTGAAAACTGAATGTATTGGAGCCATTTAGGTAGAAATTTATAGACTTATAGAGGGAAGCTTCATCCACTATAATTAATTTAAATACTCCAGTAGGAAAATTCTAGGAGGTTAGAAAAGAGATCAGATAGTTCAGTGCTCATGGGGAAACAATCCATTTTAAATTTTAGTTCTCTGTGTACTAATTTGCTTTATAATGATTGACATGCAACACAGTTGGGTCACTCCAAGTTGTATTGCTCAAAATGTATTTTTACTTTTCTGGCTCCTGTCTCATAATTGTGTTTATCTTTTTAAGGTTTCAGTGTGGAATAACGTATACAAAGACATTTCTAGAATGCTTGAAGAAAATGAAAAATACAGACTTAGGCTTAAATGTCAAAGATCATCTAATGAAAGTAAGTTAACACAGTTCATTGTTTAAAGAAGACCGGCTTCTAGTAACAGTTTAGTTAGCCTTGGATCACATTAGGCTAGTAGTTTTCCTAATTGTCAGATTTAATGTACACAACTACAGAAATGAGATTACCACGTTATCACTATTCATTGTAATTCAAAGTGCAAAACATCTTCAAGCAGTGAGTGTAGAGTGGACTCTGGTAAATATGAGTAGAGTGTAGAAGGTGCATGTGGCGGGAATTTACGTTGCAAAGAAAACACACTTGTCTGTTAAATGTGAACTTTAATGCCAACTTTTTAATTCAGATTACAACACTCATCCATATCAATGAAGACAAACATTTAAACTGCAATCTAAAGTTTTACATTATATGTAACTTCTTGTAGTTACATATAATTAAAAATTTACATGTTCCATGTTTCTTAAAAGAAAAAAAAAGTTACATTATATGTAACTTCTTCATTTCCTTTTCATAGGTGCTGCAGTCTAACTTAATACATTTGACAAAAACTGCCCTTGTGTTATGGACTTGATGACATTAGTTTATGTCTGGAAAACAACTCACGAATTAAACTAAGACTGCATCCATATTGAGTTCATATTGTCAGGGCAAATTAGATATAATCTGCTATGTTTATTAAAAGAATTGAAAGTTCTAGATTCTCAAAATATTAAATTGAATAAAATTAGTGTAACTAATAATGTTGATGGTGAAGCAAATAGTTATTTTTTTCCTTTAAGGCACATGTCCTAATATGCATGCTACTCCTTGGTGCTCAGTATGGTCTCTTGATGACAGTTTCTATTTAACAGTTATTAAACTTGTAGTATTTAATTTGTGAAAAATATTTTAATAAGATGAGAAATAAAACAATGCCATTTTATAAACAATGTAACACTGGAAATGTTAATGTTCAAACATCTATTTCTTTTAAGAAATCTCTGATTACTTTCCTTCTTCCTAATCCCCCCATTCTCCTTCTTAATTAGATAAGTCGACCATCACAAATATAAACATTGATTTATATGTCATTATTGCAAACAGTTTGTGCAATTATTGATGTTGGGATAGGCAGAAAATGTGCAAAAAAATCTGGACATAATTCAGAATGCTAGTCCAGTTCATATGAACTTCATGTGATCTTTCCTACCTCAGCAAGAGGCCTTCTAATAAACATAGAGTAACTGTATGATGATTACTTAACAATTTAAAATAATATGTAATGTTTTTAGGAAATAATTTTCTCATAAACAAAAGGTACTTTTAAAATATATTATTTTGCATTATTCTTCTTCTTCTTATTGTTATTTGGTTTGTTTGAGACAAAGTCTCACTATGTTGTGCAGGTTGGCCTTAACCTGACTTATGTAGCTCAGGCTGGCCTTGTACGCATGGAGATCCTCCTGCCTCAACCACCCAAGTGCTGGAATTACAGGTGTGCACCACCATGCCCAGCTTTAGTGCAGTTTCAAATTGCAAAAATTTTTAATAAAGCTAATATATATGTTGCAAACTATTATGACTTTATTTCTTAATATACATTTATTAATAGAGAAATCAGTGCTAGAAGCCATCTTAAAATTTTCTTGCATTTTTTGTTTTTCTAGATGCAAATTGTACAAAATGAAGTTTTCTGTCATCTTCTGGTGAGAATCCACTTGACAATAATTACATTGATCTTTCCTCTTCCCTTTTGTATCTTACCTTCTCCAACTTTTAGTGTGTAACCCTGACTAGTTCCATTCTATTTTCTTCCTTAATCCGAGGTTTGGCACATAGGAAGAACTCATTCTGCCTCTCTAACTGTATTTTCTGTGTATCTCTCATGTCTCTTTTGTTGTCCTAGGAGTAATTTTTCATCCTGTTCTTTATTTACATATTTTCTCTCAGATAACTCACTAAATTTTATAACTTCAGTGAATCTTTCTGGGTATATGATTTAATATCTATTCTACTCCTGGCTTCTGATTTTCTTTACAATATTTTAAACTGAATATATCATTTTCACACTTCCTTTCAATTGTGCCCCTGGCTTCTTAATAACCTGGCTTCATTCAACTCTTTGGGAGAGATTAATTCCAGTTTCCCAGAATTTGAAAAGTAACAGGAGAGATAGGTAATATAGGTCTTAGAAAAAGAAAATTAGACCTTTATAAGTGGGAGTGTGAGGAGCACAATATATTTTAGATATGAAGATGAGCAAAATTTATTGATTCTAACAAAGTGTTTGTGGAATGTACAGCTTAATAAAGGATTGTTTAAAATAGTAATTAAAGAACGATCTAAAAGAATGATGAGATTATATCAAAGAGTCTCTCTTGAACACAAGGGAAGAATTTGTACTCTGTTCAGGATACAATAAAGAAACATGGAACATTTTCTTGACCTGTTATTTTAAATAATTCCAAATGTACAGAAAAGTTCCAAGAATAATACAAAGAATGCTAGTAATCCTCTTACTTAGATTTACTAATTTTTAACATCTTGTCATATTTGCTTTCTCATTTTCTCTCTGTCTCTGTCTCTGTCTCCCTCTTTGTCTCTCTTTCTCTCTCTCTCTCTCTCTCTCTCTCTCTCTCTCTCTCTCTATATATATTTACCCCCACTCCTTTAATATGTATGTCCTAAGTTCAGTGCTGTCCTTTATAATAACTATACCACAATTATCAAATTCAGGAAATTTAACAGTTTAAATAATTTATACTTTTTATTCTATCCCCTGTTGTCCAAATATTATCTTTAATGGGAGTTTTTTTCCAGGTATCAAGTCCAGTCCAGGATCATGTACTGCATTTAGTTTTTGTGTCTCATGACGGAAGGGGCAGAGAGAAGTAGGTTAGAAGTAGGGGGTCAGAAAGAGGGTACTGAGTTTTGAGGATGAGTAAATAAATAAGTCACCCTCCCAAGGAAGAACTCATTTAATGAATGTATTGAGCTTTATTTTTCTCATGTTGAGGGACCCAGCTGGAAATTCTAAGCAAGCAATTGGAAGTATTGTATTGGATCTGGTGTGACAAATATATCCTTCATAAACGTTATATTGTGGTTCTAACAGTAGCTGCAGATAAAGATGTCAATGTGAGGATGGAGAAGGAGCAGAGGATCGAGTGCAGCATGTCAGACAATGTCAAAGATGAAAAATTTTGAGTTTCAGAGTCTGGGTTTCTAGGGATAATCAAGTGTACAAAGAGATGGCTGAAGGGATGAAGAAGGAGGCAAATGAAGCTTACAGATGATCAAAGAACTGGCAGTTCAAGTAAGGATGAAGACCTTGCTAGGTGAGAGCAAAGAGGTACAAGAAGTAGAAAGATAAAAATATGTCAGTCAGGTCCAGTTTAAGAGTTCTAGTGCCTAGGGGTAAAACATAAAAGATGACATTGTCTAAGTAATATGCTCATTTGTGAATCACTGCATTGGCCTGGAGTTAAAAGCCTGTAATGCAGGGTTGTGACAGTTCTTATAAGTGAAGCTATTGAAGTCGCCAAAGGTATTAGCAGGAGTTGGAATGGAAAGAAAAATATGAGCAACACATTGAGTTCACCAGACACTTCTATGATCACCTATAAAAGTAAAAGTTGCTAAAACAGTAGCAACTGTTTTAGTACAGGGAGTATCTAACTGTTCTTTTGAGTCTTAGAATTTACATTTTTTAATAACTAATGACATAATATTTAATTTTAATGCGATTCAATTTTGTCACTTTTTATTTAGGATTAACCTATCCTTGGGTCTATTTCCCAGTGAAGATTATGAAAAGTTGGAAGATGGAACATTAAATGGAATGATATTTATTCATTATTTTGGTGTGTTTTGTTGGAATTAGGACTTTATAAATTGGATGAAAAAATGACTTTATAAATTAATGGTATTTCTTTGCAAGTCAATGAAAATTTTAGTTCAAAGTTGTTATATGCATGCAAGTGTTATTTTCAGAATTAATACTTATTTTGGATACTTCAAACAATCGTATACATAAAATTTAAATTAACATGTCAGTACAATTGCATGTATTTATAATTGGAAACTTTTCCTTTTCATTAGTGAGTCTGCTATTGCTACTTTATACATCCCATCTTTTATATGTAACTGCTTTAAATTAAACTTGCATTCATTTGAATTATTTTTGGCTTCCTCATTTTTTTCTTAAAACCTGTAGAGAAATACTTATCTTGGGCCTTAAAACTGATGATTATTTAAACTATCTTTTTATCCTAAGGAAATTCAGTGTTTGTGTATGTTCATTATATGGATATATTATAATGGAGTCTATAACAATACGAGTATTTTGGGAAATTTCTTGGGAAAAAAATCAGAGGAGATACTCTAGGCTGTAACTGGTACATACAAGTCAATAAAGTGAAAGGTTTAGAATGTTGAAAATCATTTAGAAGTGTTTTTTAGTGCAGCGTTTTATTTTCTATGCAATATTAAATGGTAACCAATATTACCTACAGTAGCTTGCTTTTTTATTTACTTGTTGATGGTATGGTCTCTCTTCTTAAACTGAATAAAGGGCCTAGTAGAACTGGTAACCTGGGAGGTAAAGGCAAAAAGAGGCTTATCTGTGGTGAGCTTCTGTGTATACTACTTTTTTTTCTCACTTGATGTGACAGGTCCTCTTCCTTAAATATCCAGGATAAGAACATTCTCTGTTATTCTTTTTGGGGTCAACAAGAGGGCACACTTCCTCACTCCCCTTACAAAGGTGTTATACAATAGAGAAAAACAGACTTCTTATGAAATGGTATAAGGTATAAGGAATGTACAATAATTTTTTAGTTATTTCTTCCTCTAGTTATAACTTCAGATTATTTCATGAGACCCCAACAGAGTAGGATTTTGTGGTAGTGTGTTCTTCTGATGACTGTTTGTCAAGTCCACCTATTTCTAGTTGAAGGACACATTGCTTATATGACTTAAATCCAGCGCTAAATAAGACTCTACACAATATATGTAGTAATTTATGCTATATAAAGTTTTGTGATGAATATGAATGAGAACTTTAGGTTTGCTTCACTTTATATTTCTGTGACTTGTACACCTTGATACAGTAATGTAGTGTTTTAATTTGTCAGATATGTCAGTGTTTATTAGATTTATAATATAAGCCTGATACTGGATACAAACTCTTACTATTCTAGAGCCAGCAGAGCAATGAAAACTCCCACTGAAATGAAACGAACACTGTAAATATTCATTCTAAATCTTAATTTTTGTTTCATAATTTCTGATGAAAATTACTAAATCTCTACTTTGTTAAATACAATATGATAGGAATTCTTTGCTAGCATATCACCCAACATCAGTTGTAGCACTGTGAGCTATTTATAGTTCTGTAATCTAGCAAGGGTGACTGACTCCTACATTAAAATCTTAGACTGCTATATAGTCCCGCCTTCCCTTCATCTCTAGCACAGACTCTTTTCTCTCTTCTCCATGAGTAGGAACACTTGGCAGATCTATACCCGATTCTTTGTTTCCTTTCTTTAGACCAAATAATTTATTTTAGCCCAACAGTCTGATCATATAGAACTGCATTCTGAGAAATGTGTTATTAGGTGACCTTGTCATTGTGCAAACATCATGGAATATGCTTTCATAAAACTAGGTGGTTTGGGTCAATTACTCTATGTGGCTGCTAGATGCAATCAGCAGGTGTGGTAAGCACAACACGAATGATGGTGCTGCTGCTATAACATGGCACATTGTTATATTGTAATTTTTAATAAATAGAGTAAACTTTAGAAATCAATAAAAATATACTATAGTAAATAATAAACCAGTAACATGGTTATTATCAATATTATGTACTGTATGTAATTGTATGTGCTATACTTTTTACTTTTATTTTGGTGCTGGGGACTAAACCTAGCACCTTGCGCATACTGTACGTCTGAGCTACATCCGCAACCCTGTGCTATATTTTTATACAACTAATAGCTCAGTAGGTTTGTTTATGGCCATGTGAGTGATACATTGGTGCTAGGATGGCTACAATGTCACAGTGGTGTGTGTGAATTGTTGATTTGTCATCAACCAAAATATACTATGAGGAAAGATTGCATTTACAGCATCTGTTTTGGATTCTATAGCAGATGTTTTGTACATAGATGTGCAGAGCAGGGAGGGGAGAGGAGATCTAATGGTTTGAATGAAAGACTTATGATTACAGAGTAGAGATGAAGCATATTGATATCTCTAATAATCATTCAATCATTTATTCCAGGTCCACTGGATAATTTCAGGTGAGCTTTGGATTTATGAGGGAAGCATAAAAGGATCTTTTTAGTATAGGAACCAACTAAAGTTCAAGATATTTTCAAATCTAATGTAACGTGAAGAAAAGTTAGTGTTTTGGCAAAGTCTTGGGTCATCTATGGGAGTCAGGTTATCAAATAGTGAAAGAATAGTTTTGAGTTTGGGAGTAGGATTGTGAGAGTACAAGGCTGAAAAACCTGGGAGTGGAAGGGGAAGAAGCATCAGCACATATCTTATTACAGGGAGAACATTTGGCTGCCACAGTGTATCCAAGCTTATAATTCAGGGACCATATCTATGACAGCTATGAAAATATGCTTCTCATATTTCCTACCACAAGGACCATAATTAATGGGGGTTCAGCTGTGCTGCTTTGTGAGTTGACTACTATATGCGTATAAGGCCATTTTTCTCAACAAGTTGCCCTCTGCTGGTGATTAAGCATGGCAAGACTAACAAGGCAGGCACATTTCAGAAAGACAGACCTCAAAGACTGCCTATTTGCCTTGTTGAAACTTTTTTAGAGCTGCACCAGAGACAGAATCAAAGACTGTCTACCCACCTTTCTTTTTATCTACCTCTTCCCTACAGAGACCAATCCTTCATAGTGGTCTAATGGCTAGAGATACAGAACTCTGGAGTTGTGTACATGGTCAGTTGAGGCAGTCTGCTATGCTAAAGTCGGGGCCAGGCAAGGAAAAAGCTGAGACTCTGGACCATGTGATGGCAATATCCAAATATATTTGCCTGAATCTTGAGAGTTTGCAGAGGTGGCCCTTTTGGTCTGTGCTGGAAGTGCTGCAGGAGATCCACTCACTTCAAGAAAATAGGTTCCTTACTTGGGAGCGATTCTCATCTCTTCTTCTGGCTACCAGGCCATGACTACAGTGAAGTGGCAGTGTAATCCAAGTGGAAAAGTGTTCTGCCAGGTAAATAAGGAAGAAGGCTCTCTAATAATTAGCTAAGGGTTTATTGACATGAACAAGGGACATATCAGGGATTAGATTTTGAGGGTGTTTGACCAAAGAGGCTAAAATAAAAATGATTATTGTACAAAATCAATAATTCATAAACTTTGGGATACTTCCTTGTGAATTTGAGAAAAGAGAACTAGCCAGAGTTATTGGAAACAAGTTCTGAGTTTACATTGTCTCCTGGAAATGCAAAGCATGATCCTGTCACCCCTAATAAAATGGGAGCTCCTTGGGATCAGATTATTTCTTGAATAAACTCTGGCTCACAATAAGCCCACTAGGTTTATAAATCTAACCAGTGCTCACTTCCACAGTCCTCAGGTATATGTCTGAAATTGTACCTGACAGTTGGAGTGAACACCACAGTGGGTACTTGTTGTGTAGATTAAGATTTCTTATACTGGGAAAGCACAAGTGGAAATGACTAAAGCTTCCTCTTTGCTTCTAGTGAAGATATTAAATAAAAAACAAGATCACATTCTTGGGACAGGAGGAAGATGACAATGATGAGAGACCTAAAAGACTGCTGCAGACTTAGCTATAGTGTGTCCTTGATTGAAGCTGCTGTGCTAGATAGGTATTGCATATAGAGAAAGAATACTGTGTGAATTCACTGATATGGTAGATGTGTTCATTTCTATCAGTATTTATTTAAATATTTAAAAACATTAATTTAAATGGTAAATATTTAAAATTTTCATCAATATTTATTTATTTAAAGTTTTGCCTCAGGGGAATGTTAACTGTCTACCTTTTATCACAATATAGCCCAAAGATATCTAGACCACTTTGTTAGCCCACAGAACACTGACCCATTATGTTAAAAATCTTAATGCTGATCAGGCAGGTTAAGCAAGAGATGGCTACTGGATTCGTAATAGATTTGATCCTGAGGGTGGAAGATAAACCCTACAAAGTTTCCAGGATCTGTTTGAATTTTCAGTGAAGATTCTAGGAGTCCAATAAAACTTTATTAACTTCTTAAGGGCTGCAATTGTCAGGGATATGCCACGATACCTCCTCTGAAGTATAAAATAAATTATGTGTAACCTGAATCCCTTACTGCAAAAAGTGAAGTATATTCATAATAGAGCTCTTTGTCATTCTAAAGGTGAAGCAGTGTGAATCGTAGCAGTATTACAATCAGCTGTGTTCTGGGGTGATGTTGTAGACCAAGATGACAATCTATATGAATTCCCAGACAGTGACCAATGATCTCTCATCTGATCTGGCATCCAAGAATGGATGCTTGGAGACAAGAAGTGTGGGATAGGGGCATTTGGATGAACATATGGGAGTGAGAACAGAGTGTGAAGATTTTTATACTGTATGCTGTTGCCCCCTTGAAAGTATCTACTACTAAAGATACACTAGAAAACTAAGAGGATAAATTGATCCCTAGATAATATTAGCCATCCTTTTTCGTCAGCCTCCTAGAAATTTTTATTTTTTGTCTTACAATTTATTTGACTTCTGCTTATTATTTTTTTCTTATGTCAGTTTTGGATTTATTTTGCTCTTTTCTATACTCATGAAGTGAAAGCTTCATCTGAAATCTGAAAACTTTTTAAGTATATAAATTTAATTATAAATATTCCTCTCAACATTACTTTAGCCATGCCTCACATACTTTTGGTATGTTGTGTTTTCTCTTTCTTTTTTTCACTTAAATGTATATTTTAAAATTTCCCTCGAGATTTGCTCCTGACCTATGAACTACTTAGGATTTTGTTGTTCGCTTCTAATTATTGAGATTTCAATAGTTACCATTATTTGTTGACTCCTAGTTTGATTCTATAGTAGTCAGAGAACACACTCTGTATGACTGATATGACCTGTCTTTGTACAAGTTTAAATAATAAAATTCAAAAATAATGTGTATTCT